GTATATATATGTACTGTATATATATATATATATATATATTGATATTTGTTGTTTAACCTCAGTGAAATTGTGTGTTTTCTGATTGTGTGTAATTAACATATTATTTACACACCTGATGTAAATTACTTGTCAAATTAGTAAATAAATTCCAATTAAATTAATATTTTTTTCTGCAACAATGTTCTTTCCAGTTTCAAAAGAACGTTTTTGTTTAAAGGTTTCCTCTGAAAATAGTATGATTTGTGGATGTATGGTATGAGAAAAAATAATGTTTGCATCATTTTTAGACGATCGGATGAGTTTCAACGGAACGTAATTTAAAGGTTTCCTATGAAAATAGTACGGTATGATTTGTGGATATATAGTATGACAAAAAATAATGTTTGCATCATTTTTAGACGATATAGCAAAAATTTATTTAGACCTATAATAAGAACGCTGTCCACTAACCTTTAAATTATTTTTAAAGAGAGAGCTGACGTTTTGTTTTAATAGGGGCGGATGCAGGAGGCAACGGAGTAGGGCCAACCCGCCCCAAAAAACACTAAAAAAGGAAATAAAAAAGAGGTGATAAGAAAATGAAAAGTAAAGAGAAAGAAAGGAGGGAGCACGGTAGTCAAACAATTTATTTTTTAATTCCATGTGAAGTACCAATGAATGGTCAAGCATTTCTAAACAAAAATCTCAATAAATATAATCCCCCACCCCACCAACCGGCTCTGTGCTTCGCAAGTCGCATGTCTCCTTATTTACTGGATGCGCCATTGTTTTAACAAATTGTTATCGTTCCCTCTAATAACATGAATTTCAGTGATGCTGATCGGTCGGTCGAATCGGGAATCCTTTCCGATTGCGGCGGGGACTGCTACGCAGTAGTGCCTACACCGGTTGTACCATTGTACCGAAAACACTGTGGCGACAGCGTAGCGATTGTATGAAAACCAATCTCTACCGTACGTCGTCCCGTGCGTCGTTACATTTCTGATCCTTTTTAAGAGTCCACATTTTTGGACACTGCAGAAGAAAGCAAAGAAAGTGTCCTGTAATGCTGTTAAATACACGTTAGCGTCTTTGTTGTTTGCTCACGTTTTCCATGATGTGGTAATGTAGAGAAAAACTTGTAATTTATAATTTTATTTTCCCCCAAATAGAAATCAACAAAGATTTTCTTCCCTGTAAAAAATGTCTACACCTTATTGCAGAGAAAATAGAACCGTTAACAAAACCTGAAAAATATTATATTTCATTACATGGAAGTTTTTTTTTTCACAGAAAACAAAAAGTTCTCCATAACATTAAAAACATTAAAAAAACACAGATTGTCAACCAATTCATGTTATTGTTTTAATTTATACGGTTAACCGATCTGACGGCCAGAAAACAGTATTTTAGGTGAATCCTCATTAGGAAAATATTTTGTTATATGCCACAATGAATATTTTATATCTTCCCACAGCATAATTATGTGATCTAAACATTAACAATTATGTGGCCTATAAGAATAGCATTTTCCCAATTCAAATGGGTAGGCCTATAACCTGCAAATAAAAATATTAATACAGCTAAAAGTGTTTTTATTTTAGTTGGCTGATATAATGGTAACCACAGGGCAAAAATTAAGGTTTAAGTTTTTCAAATGCATTATTCAAAGTATTTGATAAACTTAAACCTTACGTTTATCAAATACATTATTCAAAGATCTGAAATATTCTGCAAAATATTCGATCTTATATTTTCGAGATTTTGAGTCAGTCAGGCTTGGGTCACACAAAGTAGTCTCCTATTTCATGCAAGTCTCATTTTCCCACTTAGGCGTAAAGGGACAATAATCAGTGGCTGATTCAAAGGGATGGGGACAATCCAGCTTGCCCTCCCCCTAAATTTTTCAAAATATCAAAAGGAAAAAAACATATTCAAATTTAAGTCTGAGAGTGCCGATTCCGGCCATCTAGAGGTGCCATTTTAAATCATAAATTTCTTACCTCAGCCCCAAGTCATGGTGGGTCTGAGGTGGGTACACCCTCTGTCTGTAAAATTCCTTCCCGGGACCCTGACCCCCTTTATTACTAATTCCTGGAGCCGCCGCTGATAAAAAGTAAGTAAAAATATATCCATGTTGTGAGTATCATTCTTCAGTCCAATGTCAGGGATCTTAAACAATTTGGTATACACATTTATTATCAATTATTAGATGGGTCGCGGTTAGCGTGAGAAATCAAAACCTGAGCCCAGAAAACAAAAGTTTTGGAAGCGGGGAATTATATTATCCTGGAATGATGATATTGAAGACTATTTTAATGAAGTAATAAATCCGTAATATTATTTCGGTACCCAACATCCCATCATCAAGTGGCGCTTTAATTTCAAGAGGGCGCAATCCATATTTAGAGTTTCTTTTGAAAAGTTTATGTTTCTCATGCGTTTGTTGTTATTTATTATGTTACGGATTGTATTATTGCCAAGTGCCCTAAAACTTGGTTAAGTTGAATGTCGTGATGTCCAACTGCAGCACATAAGCCCACTCCTTACAACAATTATCTAGGCATATATGCTAGGCCTAGGCTAGCCCAGCCAACAGTTTGGAGCAGCCAACCCAACCTTCCTCGACAGCGTGCAGTACGGACAAGTCGGGTAAGGCATGAACGAAAGAACGTAGCTTAGCTAGGCCTAGGCCAGGGAGTTGTTGGCTGTAGGCCTTGGCCTAGTTTATTTTTGCTAAATAAAGACCTAGGCCTCTGAATACCCTTTGCTATTCTTGGAAATGGTTGCACACTGAAAGCAGGTTGGCACAACCTCCAAGAAAGGCCTAGGCCTAGGAGGATAGGCCTAAAAGCGCAGGCCTGCACCTTTATGCTCTTAATATTAATATTCCTATCTTTTTTTTTTTTAAATTCAAACTTGTTTTTAGTACTGGGCCTACAGTACTAAGCTAGGCTTAGGGGCTAGTCCCACCATTCCACCAAATTGGTACCACTAGTAGTAAAACATATTTGTTGAGGCAATAATAAATGCGCCTACTTTTTACTTGCCTTCTCCAGTTGATGGTACCATACTGGAGTATTTTAATTGCCTGGATGATATCTAAATTTGAGTGGAAAATCGCAAGGATACTGTTAATATGGTTATATACTAAGATTAGGTCAAAGACTAATTTTCAGCAAAATCTGCGCAGAAATCGGCCCCTATTTTCTGAAATGCTGACTGCTCCATACTTTAAGTTATAGCATCAGACATTCATTGAATAATCAGCTAACACTAAAAATAATACATTTCATTTTTTAGAATTATGACCATGGAGGATACACTACAGTCAATTCTAAATGACATCTTGGTGAGTTTGGCTCTCTGATTTTCTGTTACTTATGGCTATTGATAGGATATGAACTCATGGATTGGAAGGCAAGCATCTTAATAACAAGAAGCTAAGTCTTTAAAATTAACCTCCACTCATTCAGTGATTTATTTAAGGAACTATATATCTTTGGTGGAACATCGACTTTTGTTTGAAAGTAAAATAAGAAATTATTTTCATTATTTTACAGTTTATTTAGATATAATTCATTTTGTTATATATTTCAGATAACTACATCAGTAGAAGAAGCCTTCAGTGGGTAAGAATCATACTATATTAAGAAGGGGTTTTCTTTTTTTGCAGTTTCTCTGTAGACTAGATATCTAAACACTTTGATTTGTGTGTACTTTAATGGTCCTTGCTGTCAATGCACTATTTGCAAACAAAAAGTACTTTAAAAACAATTAGAATTAATGAATTGTACATGGCACTAGCTCCAGCTTTAAAAACACCTCTTCTCGTCCGATCAATTTAACCAAAATTGGGCCCAATTAGTACTTGGATGGGAGAATGATCTCAGGCTGACTGGGTGCTACAGACTTGGGTGAGTAAGTACTTGATTGACATGCAACCTGCAATATCATTGGCACAGGTGTGAATCTCACTCCTTAATGCTGGGTTTGAGTTGCTGTACCCAAGTCTTCTCGGATAAAGACTCTTACCCATAGGCCAGTGTACACAATTGGCTTATGTGCACCCATTACATCCTTTGAGAAGAGTAGAGAGTAGCCCCGATGTACTGGTCTATCCCGCCCCTGTCGTTGTGGACAGATGAAAGTGTACACCTCTCTGCAATTGATCGGACGTGAAGTGACCCTTTCGGGAGAAGTTAAAGTTAGTCCACCCCTATGAGCCATTCAGGTTAATATTCCATACCTTTACCTTTACGTAAAAAAGTAAGAAAAGTAAAAATTATAAATGGTGCATAGGATGATTATAATTTTATATTTTCAGATTTATCTTATACTCTGCGGAAGAAGAAAACAACAAGATTATCTGCTGCAATGAGTCTTTCCTTCGATTTTGGAAAGATGCCATCCCTTCAGTGGTAACATACACATATTATAAACATTTTTAAATAACTTTTTGGCATAGAGTAAACCATTCATTTGGTTGAGTGGTTTAAAGATTATACAGTAGATATATTTGAAATAATTTTTAAAGCAATTTTATAAAAATGTATATGATAAGGTGAAAGATGTTTACTCTCTATGCAGTGCTGGTATCGGTGGGGATGGGAGGTGAATTTTCCCTAATTAGACAAGCATAGACCACCTGAGGTAATCGCATTAAAACCATTCATTGTCTGATAAACTTAATACTGGCTTACACCGACATTGTAATAATTACTTCCAAATTTCTTACCCAGGAAGCTCAGAAAGCAGCTCTGCAATATTACATAAAGACTCTCCATGGGCAACGTGCACCAAAAAGAGTTAAGTTGTTGTGTGACCTGCTGGCAAACGCAGCTGAAAAGAAGGTTATTCCTGCCAAGTAAGTCTTTTCATCCAGTTGTAAATAATATAATGATATACTTGTCCATGTTGCGTTATTTCAATGTGTGTTTGCATCAGAAAAATATCATAGGAGTGAGGTTTTTCCCAACATTACTCACTAAGCGCAATCTTGGTGGTCTAGTGGTTATGACACCAGGCTATGTAACTGGAGGTTGTGGGTTCGGTTCCCACCTGAATCACTTGGAAATTTTGTTTGCAAGTGTTTGGGAACGTAATGAGTATTCAGTGCGATGGCACGTCGGGGAGGGAATAACAGCACTCCTATGATATTTTTGGCTATGTTGGTGACATTAAATAAAAATGATTGTTACCATGAAAGCTTGAGTTTAGTTTTAAATGTAGTAGACAGGATAAGAGTAATATTGAGCTTGCTAGTATTAGTAACTGTGTGATTTTGTTAATTGCTCCTTTATAATTATCAGTAAATTTGCTCTGTGTCTTACAAAAATTGCATGCATGTATGCATATACATACAGTAGTAACAACCTGTGTGTATTGTTTAAGGTTGATCTGTGAAGAGCTGCTGCTATCTGACAAGCTAGACTACAGGAATACAGACACTTGGAGTCAAACTTTCTTGGTTATCAAGAAAATTATTGTTTTCATTGATTACAAGGTACGTAGTACTTGAAATTGGATATATTAGGTATACAAATATTAACTTACCTAATTACACATGACTTGATATAGTTTAACATGTTTTGTTATTCTGTTCCATCCAAAGGGCTGCCGTGATCTATGGAAGGTTATTTTGGATAAGACTTTGACGATTCCGACCAATATTAATATATCCACATTCAAGAAATTGGATTCTCTATTGAAGGTATCTGGATTATGTTCCATCTGATGGTGACCTCTACCTAAGCTACGTCAACATTTAATATCAAATTTTATTATGACAGATAATTTCAGAATCATTTAAATCCAACATTTCCTTATGAAGTTACAAGTGTTTAAACATAGAGAAGAAAGATATTTGAGAAGTCAGCCTTCAAAGGTTATGATTTCGGGCATTTCTCAGGCAGAAACCCTCATCAAATTGTTAAAAATGTTTGTTTCAACATTGAAAATAGGGTAATAACAGCATAGCATGATGTATAGATGTAAATGTTAGTTTAGTGCAATAAAAAATATTTAAACAATTTTGATGTTCCAGCATGTTTTGGTCATTATCTCTGAAACACGATTTGCGGCGAGTGACTGGTTTGGCTTGTCTTTGCCACATATAAAGATATGATTTGATTTAGTCATGCCCATATTATGCGCAAATCATATATACAAGGGGGACGGGCCAGCATACTTAAATTACTAGTTCAATTGCGGATATCCCTCAAGTAGTTAAGCTATAGCTTGGTGCAGTGGTGACTTTAGAAATTGTCCGAAAAAAGGGTGTGAATCAAGGGCCACCTAGGGCCTTGGTCTTTGTCTGGAATAAAGTTCCTGGTGGGAGAGATTTTATAGTTTATGATTTCGGCATTTCTCAGGCAGAAACCCTCACCAAATTGTTAAAAATTGTTGTTTTAACATTGAAAATAGGGAAAATAACAGCATAGCTTGATGTATAGATGTAAATGTTAGTTTAGTGCAATTAAAAAGATTTCAACAATTTTGACATTCCAGCATGTTTTGGTCATTATCTCTGAAACACGATTTGCGGCGAGTGACTGGTTTGGCTTGTCTTTGCCACATATAACGATATATGATTTGATTTAATCATGCCCATATTATGCGCAAATCATATATGCAAGGGGCACGGGCCAGCATACTTTACTAGTTCAATTGCGGATATCCCTCAAGTAGTTAAGCTATAGCCTGGTGCAGTGGTGACTTTAGAAATCGTTCGAAAACGGGTGCGAATCAAGGGCCACCTAGGGCCCTGGTCTTTGTCTGGAATAAAGTTCCTGGTGGGAGAGATTTTATAGTTTAGGATGGCCCAAATTTGTGCTTTATTGTGCAGTATTAGAAATTGCTAATCACAATCACTTTGTTTGAACAAGCAAAGTAGTATTTTTTGTCTGACAACCCCGTTGTGGCATCAGACAACGGGCGTCACCCCCTTTCCAATTCCTTGTCATTATTAAAGTATTACTCATTGTTTACTTTAAAACTGTATATATTCAATATTTTTAAACAAAAGTTTATTAATTTACATATTTTGCTTTCATCTTTTGATTGTGTTGTTCTCATTGTCCAGGTTATTAACCAAATCCTAGATCGGAATTCATGTCTTCTGCCGAGTTATTTTGCGGTCAATGAAATCATGAAGTCGGCTTCCGAAGAACCAAATTCTAATCATTGGGTAAGGTATCATTCTGTTATATTTGTATTAATGTTGCCTTTGCTAAAATGCAATTTTGTACAAAATTAAGTCCGTTCTGATAAATATCCCTGCTAAAATATATGTTCCAAATAAGTTCAAACTAAAAACAAAATACCTATGCTAAAAGTCCATACAAATACAAATATATATATATATATATATATGTATACAAATATTAAGGGGAATGGTGAAATCTATTGCCCCGAGGTGATGTGGAGAACGTAGCCTATAGGCTACGGTCTCCAAATCACAGAGGGGCTGTAAATTTCGAGAATCTAGAGCAGTCAATATTTGTTTTATATAACTCATACATAGATTCCACGCAACCTAAAAAAAGCAATGGAAAGAGTGCACACCAAATAGGCCTAGGCTTACTTCCTAGGACTAGGCGATCAAAAGGCCTCTCAGCGTCGTAGAGGTTGCATCCCATTTGCCGTCTGTGCGTGTCATAAATTACAAAGTAATGTTATAGGTGGTGGCCTAGAGATTACACATCGCAACAAGGCAAAAAAGTACTGTCATTTAGGGTGATAGTACTTTTTCCCCAGAAAATAATGAACTACTGTATTATTCAACCACCTAATGCATCATAAGATTGATGGTTGAAGTTATTGCTCGCTTCTTAACCAATCAGATGCCTAGAATCTATGTATATGGTATATAATATCACCCATCACGGTCAAGTCAAAACACCATGCTAAAAGCTAAAGCCTATGCCATAATCTTCTGTCTGTCCATACTAAAAATAACTCCATGTTATAAACTTAAATTCACTGTAAATCTAATATAGTATCATTGCTATAAAACTTTCCTCCATCCCAAAGTCTAATGCACATGCTATAACTTAATGCCTATGCAATTGTTTTTTTTTGTTCATTAGGTGATTGGCGATGTGTTGGCTAGATTTGTTGACAGTTTCAGGCAAACAGCAAGAATGGTATCCATTACTGGTAAGAGGAGAATTCAAGAATATCTGTTTTTTCAGTGTCTCATGAATTCTGTTCTAATTAAAACCAACTGTCAATCTTATTGAACTAAAAGTGAAAAAAAAAACTAACAATTTTTCATTGGTGGCATTGCGGATATAATTATCAGAAGCCTTAAGTAATTTGCTATTCAAAATTTTGTCTCATAATTAATTAGTCTTATTAACTCACTTTTCCATCCTTAAAATCCACTCTTATAACTTTACCAATTTTATCACCATTCCCAACCTTATAATGTCTATCACCCATCCTTAGTTCTCTACAGCACAACCCTGCTTAGCATATGTAGTTTTTTACTTTTATACTTCTTCTCTCATTTAATATTCTGACCTTTTGCCAAACCAGGTCGTTCACAGCTCTTACCAATTGTTGGTCACTCAAGCTCAATTGGAAATGCTTGGAAATTAGAGCAGTCGACTTTGAGATTTCCACTTAAAGGAATGCTTCCGTATGACAAGGTAAGTTTCTTGATATCTACTGTACTTCATAAATTTGTAAGTCGCGCTGTCACAAGTAGCAAATATTTATGCCAATATTAGTGGAGCTACAACTTTATAGATAAAACTATTCAAAACATTTCTGTTCTAACTTTGTGATCAAAACATTTTAATTATTCAAGCTGTAATGGATCGCTCTGAACTGTTGAATCAGTTGCATTTACAAGATGTGCTCCGGTTTTCCTTTTGCCTTTACCGATTATTATTATAAATTGCTTTTAATGTTATAATCATTAATCATTATCTTTAGTACATCAGATAAGAATCTCTTTTCTTAAATCTATTGTAGGAACTTCTTCAACCCCAGAAAGGTCTTTTGCGATATGTTCTAGAACAACCTTACTCAAGAGATATGATATGCAGTATTCTAGACCTCAATAAACAGGTAGGTACTTTAAAAAAATTATTGGACTCTTATAAGCAGGTTGGAATTGTCCCCCTGACCCTCACTCGCACCGCCACTAACTGATTTAATAATACAATTTATCTCTTTGATTAAACAGCAGAAGCAAAGATGTACAGTTTTAGAGGAGCAGTTGGTAGATATGCTAATTCTCGCAATGGAAAAAATGGAGAACGACATGGCAACCGACCTGCTATGGCGCCACCTATCCAGCCAGGTCATCTTCTTTGTCCTCTTCCAGTTTGCTGGATTTCCTCAGATGGTTGAAGCTCTCCACCAAAAGGTAAGGTATGTGTACGCATCAAAACAGGTAGTTGTACTGCGATGCATTTTCACATCTCGCGCGCTGTTCACTATATATGTTGCAAATTTAAACAAAAAGGTATTCGTGCTCTCTTGCAGGTTGTGTCATCATAGATAATTATCATATTGTCACCCGATTACTTTTTGTCTCAAATCTAAAACTCACGTTCGTTACTTATTTTAACAGTTAAGCAAGAATCCTCTACGCAGAGGGCGAGATCATCTGATGTGGGTTTTGCTCCAGATAGTGTCTGGCAGTATAAAAAAGAATCCTGTGTCTGACTTCCTCAATGTGTTGAACCTCTTTGACCTGTTGTATCCAGAGCGAGAGGTAATTTTTGTTTAACAATATTTACATTTGTGTAATTTATAAAATGTTTTAAGTTGTCAATATTTATCTTTTCTCTTTATTTGAAAGTTCTTCTGAAAAATACTAACCATTAGTAGGCAAGTGATTCTATGAGATTTGTGAGTGGAATATTTTTTTGTAATGAGAAAAATTTGATTGAACCGAGGCCCTCATCATTTGAAGGCATGCAATACAACCATTAAGCCACAGCTTCACTACGTTGACTCAGAATCTAACTCGTGTTTATTCAAGCTATTAGTATTAATATTGATATTTTGATTTTTCTATTTTATTTCACCTGATACCAGCCTCTGCCACTCCCTGATTTCAACAATTCAAACTGCATGATACAATTTGCTGTCACCTGTATCTGGATTCACTTAGCCCAGAAGGAACCTCTCAAGCGACCCACACCACCAGCACTTAAGCTGCATCTTGAGTAAGTTCTTAATTAACACCTCCACTCATCACTCATTGAGCAGTATATTGAGTAAGTTCTTAATTAACACCTCACTTTTTAAGCAGTAGCTTGAGTAAGTTCTTAATTTAGACCTATACTCATCGCTTGTTATGCTGTGTGTATTTGATTATGTTCTTAATTTACACCACTACTCATATGTAGCATCTTGAGTAAGTTCAGCTCCACTCATTAAGCAGCATCTTGAGTAAGTTCTTAATTTACATCTCTATTCATCTCTCATTAAACTGTATATAGAGTAATTTCTTAAGTTATACCTCTACTCATATGTAGCATTTTGAGTAAAGTTAAACTCTTCTCATTAAGCAGTAGCTCTTATTAATTGGACCAATAGGCAAGACATACAATGCCCACTCTCTATGATGATTGCTGTATATTAAATGTTTAATATACAAATATATTCACTACTGTTTTATCTCTTCAGATTTGTCCACCAAATCCACAGCAGCAAGAATCTTCCAATGCATAGAGTAGCTATTCTCTGCAATGCATGTAAGTTTTGCTGATCCTAAGATTGGCTGGTAATCAGTGGCATAACAATGAGGCCTGAGGCCCCTGGCTAAGGTATCTTTGAGCCCTTCTATTTTTTATTCTGCTCCAGACATTCCCCTGCTAAGCCAATTTAAGAGCAAAAAAAATGTTTATGAACTTCCTGTGGCACCTTAAGGTCTAGTCTTAATTAAATAGGTAATTAATTTAAGACTTTTTATAGAAAAATGTCTATAAATATTTGAAACTCTTCAATCAGAGTCTCATTATGGAAATTATTCTTTTTCTTAAATTGCAGACAGAACAAATACTGTATTTAACATTTTTGGTTGTTTTTGATAGCAGACATTATTCAAAATTTTTCTATTTGGAATTAAAAATTGCAGCTAGACCCCTGGTAACCCGTGGTGGCCATAATCAGGTGCCAGTACCAATATGCCCCCTGTCTCGCCTAACTCTTGTGCAAGGATTCTTCGAAAAGCCGAGCGATCGACTCTAATCGGCCAGGTTTAAACTGAGGACCGCAGCCCAAGATGCCTGAACATTACCTCTCAGCCAAATACCTAACATCTTTGTATTGTTTTTTTAATTGTAGACAGTACAAACAATGAGTACTTCAACCTTCCAATGAGCGTGTTGGTGGATGCTATTTCGGGAAAACAACAAACCACTCCTGCCACGCCTCTCTCAATGAATCTCCTCGACTCACTCACTGTGCATGCTAAAATGAGGTAGGTGTAAACCAATATAAATACACAATAAAAATTGTTTGAATGTATTTACACAGTCTGCAATAAATACATGCTAACAGTCAGTATGTGTTAAGACAACCAAAGTTTGTTTACGGTTTTGGGTGGCTACTTCATTTCTGAACCAATTGAAGAGACCTATTCAAAAATTGAATCTAATTGTTTTAAATGAATTGTTGGCCCTCTACAGAAATAATCAATTTTTTGTCTTATTTTGTATGTTTTTTATCTTAAGCAATAACTAAATTCGGTCAAAATAGAAATTTCTTATACTTATAAATCCTTCTAACATATGTCAGAATAAGTTTTCAGTTATTTCATTAAAAAAAAAAGTGTTTGGTAAAAGGTTGTAGGGACTGGGGCTTTAAATAAAAAAAATCTATGTGTTTAGTTTGTTTTTCTTTTGTTTCCTTATATTTTTACATCTATATGCTCACAAAAAGCTGTAAGTGGTCGATTGTTTCTGATGTTCTCTTTAGTTAATCAATAGGGAGCATTCGATTGCACGACGACGGTAAGACATAGAATGTAATGACGTCAGTAAAAGTCATCTGTGCATGCAAGAACGTTAAGGTCACCTCATCGAGTAGATTCTGGAACGCAATTTGGGCAAATCTGCGTACGCAGAGAACGTAGGATGCCAGGTAGGACGGTCACGCATGAGTGATTCCGTTCTAGCGTCGCGTCGTCGCACAAATCGAAAGCTTCATATTATATAAATTGACAAACATTTTTTTAATTGCAGTTTGCTACATAGTATTGTGACCAAGATAATGCAGATGGCTAAGCACCAGCAGGCTATGACACACTCCATACCCGCCGTCTTGATTGAGACTTACAGCAGGCTTCTCGTCTACATGGAGATAGAGTCCCTCGGAATAAAAGGATACATAAGTATGTATACATAAGTTAATTTTAAGTAGACTTGGTTAATGCTTTGTTTAGTGGATTTATTTTATATTTTTTTATTTATATATCATTATAGTATATTGCTGGAAAAAAATTAATATAAAATATTGTTTTCTTATCAATGATTTTGCCAAAATCATCTAGGAGGAGGAGAAAATATAAATGTTACATTATTTGATTGATGAATGTAAGCAGTGTAAGTAAATGGGATTGATAAATGCTTTAAATTTATATAATTAAAGAAGAAATATTGATATCTTATTTTTTGGATTTCAGGGGAGGGCATAATAAAAATAAAAATAAGGATTTTTTTCTTAAATTTCCATTTCTTGTGACAAAATAAAAACAATGGCCGTAAATATATATATATATTTTGTAATCACCATTATTGGCGGTCTGTGGGTTTGCTAAAGAAGTTTTAAAAAAACTTACCTTATCGTACCACTTTGCATTAGATGAAATATGGTTAAAAAGTAAAATATTTTTGCTAATTATAATTTTACTTTGATTTTAGATCAGTTATTATCGACAATAAAGGAGCATTATGCCTGGGGTATTCTACACACCATGCTTGAGATGTTTAGCTATCGTCTTCATCACGTCCAACCACAATACAGGATTCAGCTGCTGTTGTCACTTCATGCATTCAACAGCATGCCACAAACCAATCAGAATCAACTTTACTTATGGTAATTATTTAGCTAACTTAATTTCAATAACTATAAATACTTTACCTATGATAATTAAGTATAAATTACTGTAATTCATCTGGTGTAAGCCCACCCCACTTGAACACAAAATTGACCCAATTTTTTTTTTTTTTTGTGGGGTGGGTGAGGGGGGATGGCTTATACCCAGGAATCCCCTCCTTAGTAAAAATGATTTTTTTTTTAGGCACTGTATGCCTATTCAAAGCCAATATTTGATGTTTTTTCATGAGAATTTTTTTTAAAGTCATACACTGAGCTTTTGCCTGAGGAAAGGCTGGTACATAAAATTGGGCATAAAGTAGGAGATGGGCTTATAGCTGAGGAACTGCATTACTTAGTAAAATTTTTGCAATGCAGAATTTACATATTTTTTGATACATTTTTTTGGAAGGCACTATATATTCAATGTGATTTAATTGCATTACCCAGTATTTTACCCTGTATTATTATAATTGTCATTGTTGTTGTTTTTAGGTTATTATTATTGTTGTTATAAACGCGTACCCTGTATAGTTGTTATTGTTGTTATTAATATTTATCATTTAAGTGGAGTTAAATAGCTTGGTGGTTAAGATGTTTGCCTTCCAATCCCAGGGTCCTAGGTTCAATTCCTGTCACGGTAACACAATTTATCTCAGGACCTAAACACTTCGAACTACAAACCTCTTAAATGAGACTTAGTTTATGTGGAGCATCTTGTGTTTATATTTTTTGATATATTAAAGGGATATGCCACTTTAAAAGTGATTAAGTTTGCTGTTTGGCATATTTTTGGTCTTCGGCCTAAATCAATTAATGATAATAAATATTATTACGAAGTATTGTTGTTATCATTTATTATGTTCTTGCATAAATATACTTTTTTCATTATTAGCATTGAAAGCACTGCTCTTCAACTTATCACTGGCTTAGGAAGTACTGAGGTGCAGCCCCAACTGTCACGCTTCCTAACTGAGCCAAACCAACTGCTGTCAAAAGATTCAGAGGAACTCAACAGAGCCCTTGTCCTGTCTTTGGCACGAGCCATGCACATTACAGGTAAGTACTGGGTTATAAGGGCATTATACAGTACCGTCTATCAGTAATAACACTACACAAATATTTTTAGGTAATTTTGTTTTAATTGAAACTAAGACCGATGCTCATCACATAGTTTTTGTACTTGGGCAAGACACTTCTTCTGCATTTGCCTTTCTTCTTTCAGGAGTATAAATGGGTACCTGGTAGGAGGTGAATTCGGAATGAGATTAGTATTTCTTAAGGTGCTTTTCTTTCTAATTATTTATATATAGGATCTGAAACACTGTCAAGTAATTGGTGTCAAGATATCCTATCAAATTTGATGTCAAACACCCCACACAGCTGGGCACAACACACGCTGGAATGTTTTCCTACTGCGCTTAACCAGTTCTTTCAACAGAATCCCTACAACAGTGAAAACAGGTCTATACTGAAGAGAAACGTTGATGAAGAGTACAGGGTTTGGAAATGTAGGATTAATTTTATTTTATTTAAATTGTTGATATTTGGCAAATACAAGCCAAACCAGTCACTCATCGGTGAAATTAATTTTTAGTAATTAATACAAGGTTAAACAGTAAAGTGAGAGCTATAAAATGGTAACAGAATCATTTAAATCAGACATTTTATTATCAAGTTACAGAAGTTTAAACATACAGCTGTTTAAAGAACAATATTTGAGAAATCAGCCTTCAAAGTTTATGATTTTGGTCATTTCTCAGGCAGTACATCACCAAATTATTAAAAATTGTTTGAACATTGAAAATGGGGAAAATAACAGCATAGCATGATATACTGTATAGTATATAAGGTTAGTTAAGTGCAATAAAATAGATTTCAAAAATGTTGACATTCCAGCACTTTTTGTCAACACGATTAGTGAATGATTATTATATATTATAGAATTTAATAAATGGTTTATTGATGAATTTACTGATTAAGTGTTTGTTGATTGATTAATTGATTGATTGGTTTGATTGATTACTTGATTGATGGATGGATAGATTGATCAATTTATTGATTGGTGATTGATTGAGATTGGTAGGTTTATTGAATGGTCAAATGATTAGTTGATTGATTGAGTGATTGATTGATTGAATGATTGGATGTTTAATTTGTTGGTTGGTTATTGACAGAATACTTATTGATTGATTGATGGAATGATTGATTAGTTGCCTTTATTGATTGATTTCTCCAAATATTTAAATCATATCTATTCCCTTTTGACCTTTAGCCATGAGCAATGAAGCCGACCTTATTAAACATTTCACTGCTGAAAATCGGCCTCCAATGTTTTTATGGTAAGTACCTCACTAAACACTGAAATTTCAATCTGATTCTGTTATAATATTATCTGCGCATGTTATATGTTTCCTTATTGCATAATCATTATGTGGGTGAACGATTTTGATTTGTGTAGTTGAAATTCTTTAGGCTTATGTTGTCTGACAGAGGGTCTGAAAATATCTGGCGGAGAATGATAGAAGACCTGCAACAAATCAGGATTCAGGAGTGCTACCCTGTTGGGAGTCCAGGTGCAGACCTCTAGTGCTTAGAGAAAACTCGGCAATTATGGTCATTTTTAAGAGCTCAGGGACTGTTTAGACAGTATTAGTTTTAGCTATTTAAATTTATAATTTTAATTTATGATATTTTCAATTTTAATGTTATTCTTAACAAGTCATGGCTGACATGGATGCTTGGGCTGTCCGAAGGGAAGGCTCAAGTCTTTCTGCCCCTCACTGACAATGCCACTGCTCTGAATTGTTAATCCATTTGCTGTGTTTTTTTCCTTTACTGTAGTGTCCTCTGGAAAATGTTGTTACAATCTGACCAGCTGCGTCCTGTTATTATTAAGATCTTGGAAAACATCGGACCTCGAATGATTTCAAAGCATATTCGACTGTTCACTGATTATCTAGTCTTTGAATTTTCCAACTCAGTTGGGAGCCAACATGTGAATAAGGTGAGTGGCATGAACTTCAACGTAAAAATATATACAAACACTTTTTTTAAATATTTAAAATACAAAACCCTAGAAATTAGAATACAAGTCTCCCTCCAATTAAAGACCACTTTTGGTACTAGGGTTTTCATGGTATGTAGCAGCTTTAGGCCTAGTTCAGACTAGGTGGATAAACCCGGCTCAACCCACCAGGTTTATTCACCTGTCAGTCTGAACTAGGTGGCTTATCTCAAGCCGGGCTGTGTAGTAACTAGGCCTGGCGTGCCACCGTGTTAAACTTTTCTAAGCCAGGCTTTAATATTTGCGGGGGGTCTTGCATTGAATTCGGGTAACAAAATGACCAATCAGCATTCAATTACTTACGCTGTGAGCGAGCGTACGTTTCGCGAGCAATGTTTTGAAACATGTTACGGTTCATTATTATGAAAATTCTCGCGCCTGGCTAATCCCGCTAGTCTGAACGCCTGCCAAAGTTAAGCCGGGCTTAGCTTCGAGTCGGGCTTAACTTAAGCCTGGCTTATCTCGAAGTCTGAATGTAGCCTTAGTCTCTAATTACAATATTAAAGATAAAAAACATTTGTTAATATGGGAACCACAGAAAAATGGTCTTTTTAATTGGAGAGGTCTCATAGAGGGCAACCTGTATACTGACTGAATTGCTCATTGAAATACAAATCATATAAAGTCTTCTTTTTCTCCTTGTATGCTGCTGCCTTCCAATTGCTAAATGCTAAAAAGTGTTCAGCTTCTGGTAGGAATGGAACCAGGAACAAAGATTTTCCATGGTTCACACACACACAGTGGCTACCACCAGTTTAGCCGACTGAGCTGCTCTCCAAAAAGTCCATTGAATTTATATGATTTAATAGTTATTAATTTGGTTTTTCTCAGTGTATTGAAACTCTCAATGATTTGGTTTGGAAGTTAAATGTAGTGACCCTTGACCGGCTTATTCTCAGTTTGGTAAGTGCCTAGTGTTTCCTGTTTCGTTATTCAATGTAAGCTTGACAGACCCACACAACTGTTGCCAGTTTTTACCACTTTTATCTGTCATAGCAAACGTCAAATATGTCAAATTGTGTTTCTTTTCATTTTTTTTTTCTCTACTTTTGTTTTTTCTTGTGTTTGTTTTTAGAATGCTTTTTTAGAAAGGCAATTTGTTGTATTTTATGCCTTTCATCCAATTTTACTCTGCTTGTGTGTTTTTTTATAGTAATTGTTAAATTAATTTAATTTTATATCTGTCTCTTGTGTTTTATGTGTTGATAACAAATAACAATTATTATATTGTCGTTCGTTGTGGCCATCAGCTTTAACAGGTTTTTGTTTTCATTACAGTGGTGAATATTGTGACCTCATCCAGTCTTTTTTTTCTACCTTCTTTTAATGATATGTCACAAAGGCAAAGAAACTGAAGTGTGTACTTTATCATCCAGTGACTTATGATGATACTGCCCTCGTCAGATTTAGGATTTTTTTCCATTGCCTTTCTAATTCATTAAAAATAAAGTGTGGTCTGATCATTCAGCTACTTATGATGATGCTGCCCTCATCAGATTTTAAATTTAGTTCCATTGCCTTTCTAATTCATTAAAAATAAAGTGTGGTCTTTATCATTCAGCTACTCATAATAATAATAATAAGCCTTCTTAAGAGTCAGTGAAACACAAAAGTAATTAATTTAGGGGATCATAAAGGCAGTGATGCTCAAAATTTATTATTTTTTTGTATCATCCAACTACTTATGTTAATTTCTGCCCTCTTAGGCTTTGGGGAATCATGAAGGCAATGAGGCACAGGTGTGTTTCTTTATCATCCAGCTACTTCTCTTGAAACCAAACGAGTTTAGAAATCGTGTTTCAGAGTTTGTGAAACTTTCACCTGACCATTGGCTGGACAATGATTGGCACAGTCATCATGTTTCCTTTAACCAGGTGAGAGGTCATTTTTTTTTTTATGATGATGCATGACAAATGTATTTTCTCTGCTCTTTATTTACCTTTGCCAAGTTTATCTTGGTAAAGGTAATGTATTCACCGCTATCGATCTGTTTGTTAGGATTATGCAAAAACTAATGAATGGGTCATAATAAATTTGAGAAGTGATTAAATTGTAGAGTGAAAGGTCAAATTTTATGGTTACAGAAATTTGAAAATCCTTATTTTAACAAAATTATGCAAAACCTAATTAATGGATATATATATACTTCTTAGTGGATGAGTACATAACAAAGAGGTTTTAGGGTGAAAAGGTCAAGAAATTATTAAATGTTGTCTTCATTCTTCATTTTCTTCTTACCATTACCTAATTTTCAATCTCGCTGATTACACAATATATAGTGGCAAGTCTTCCTCTAATTAATGACCATTTTTGGCACTGGGATTTACATGGTCTTTAGAAGCTTTGGTCTGTAATTAGAACAATAAAGATAAAAGACTTATTTTAATTAGAGACCACACTAAAATGTTGTCTTTAAGTGGAGGTGATCTTTAAAATGGAGGTGTTTAATTAGAGTGAGGCCTGTATATAATGAATAAATGTATAATAAGACAGACCAAAATATTGATCATACTTATACACACAAACCCATACAATGGAGGAGAGACAAATAAAAAGTAAGTGAAAGAAAGGGTGGGTGAAGAACGGATGCAATTGCAGCATCAACAAATTTGTAGTATCGACAAATTATTGATTAGTGAGCAAGCCTAATATATCATATAGGATTATTTTATTGAAATAGAGTTGAGTGATATTTTCTTTATTGTGAAGATTTCTACCAAGCAGGCTGAATATGTTATTAAATATTTATAAATGTTGCCATTAAACTGGTGTTTTTTTTGGTCTTACAAAGCTTTTCTTACAGCCTTTGTAAAAAAAAACACACCCACACAGAAGACATCATGTATTTATCTTTAGAAAAGTACAGTATACAGTACAATAACATTTAAATAGACACAATACAATTTCAAACAAAGCATTTTCTATGATTCTTTTTATTGTAGAGTGATCTGTATTTTTATTACTATGTTTATTAACATTTTAAAATTAATTAAATACCATTAATGATTTGATGACCATTGTTTTTATCAATGCAAATTTTATATTTTAATATTCTATTGTGGTAGTAATGAGTTCTGCTGCTAATAATGATTTAGTTGTATGCAAAAAAACTAGATAGTATGCAAAAAGAATTATATTTTATACTCTTTTTATAATTTACATTTATGCTGTGTCTGTTGCAGAGATTTCCAGAGAAGTTCTTTTTTGAAGGACTGTATGAGGCGACAAGAACACCCATGCCAACCCCACCAAAGTACCTACCGACATATTTTGTAAATGTGTGTCTCCGATTCCTCACTGTGAGTAGACAGATTTGTAGTGAGAAGATTTAAAATTTCTAATTTAATAAATAAATTTTATATTAAGTTAGCAGTTTTTTAATTTTTTTTTACATGTTTGTTGTTTGTCTAGCTTGGTGGTTAATGTGCTTGCCTTCCAATCACAGGGTCCTGGATCATGTCCATATATGGATGGGCACATCACACAAATTTGTCACATGTTTGCATAGTATGGACAAAGCTTTAAGCTCCGTTCACACTCAAATTTCATGTGACAAATGTGTGTGATGTGCCCATATATAGTCATGATGATGTTATATTACATCCAAATATGGGTGCATCACATTTTTTTCTCATAAAATTTGTTAAGAACTTAATCATATTTTAATATAGAAATAGTATAATATATTATATAATTATTTATCAGTGTTCCCTTTTGGCAGTGTTTTTATGTCTGAGTTATTTTCTTTTTGTATTCCAGGTTTTTGATATTGTTATTCACCGTTTCTTGGAATTACCACCTGTCTCTAAATCTTTGGAGACACTCTTAGACCATCTGGGATCTCTTTACAAGTTTCATGGTAGGAATGTATTTTGAAACTTATCAAACATTCACACAGATAATTAGTAGAGATATACTTACAAGCACTTCATGGTTAAAGTGCTGGTCTTCCAATACCAGGGTTCTGGGTTCAAATGAAAGCAGAGCATCATTTTCTGTTGGATGTGACAAAAACAGTTTTTTGTTTGATTCCAGATCGGCCTATCACATACCTGTACAATACTCTCCACTACTATGAAAAGAAGGTTAAAGATCGTCCACTGATGAAGAAGAAGCTGGTTGGATCCATAACGGGCTCCCTCAAAGACATACGACCTCAAGGATGGTACGTTGCAATTTATTTCAGGGAAATAAATATCAGGGATTGACAAACATACCGTTTCTGGCTAATTTAGCTGTTGTTATACAGTTATTATGTGTACTGTTATATTGTTTATCACCCTGTATTATGTAGATTATTACATTTTTACATTTTATTCATCTGTTGTTTTATTTTTTTTTTCTTATTTATTTATTTATTTATTTTGAATGTGCTTTTTGAGTCAAATAATAAAAATTGCTGATGTGTCATTTGTGTTACAATTAGAATATGAATGTATGTAAATTATTTGTCTGAGTTGGTGACCTTAAACTTTTGCATACAGGTGCTTACCTAATGAGTACAATATATAATATAGTGGATAAAATATTATGTTATATTGAAATTGTGTTTTTTCTTTGTGTATTGTAGGTGCTTAACTAAAGAGTTCACTGAATACCTTGGAAGACCTGGAGATGAGAGTTGGGTTCCAACTCAAGAGTACTATCACAATCTTCTAGCACGCTTAGTTGACAATATCCTTTCATGACATATTTTAATGCTATTATTGTAGAATCAGTGGGGTATCTAGTGGGTG